TGTTGCATTAAGGCAAGTAACCCTGACATCAGTGGTTCCCAACCTTGGGTCCCCAAATGTTCTTGGACTGCAGCTACCAGATGCCCTTGCCAACACAGCTAGAAGTGAAGGCTTCTGGGAGTTGCACTCCAAGAATGTCTGGGGACCAAGCCTGGGAACCACTGCCTTAATCAGGCCCCAAGCCATCTAGCACTCTGAAAGCTAAAACTAGCATATCGGATCATACAACACCATAATCTGCAATATATTGTACCAACAAAAGATTTTAGACCCTCTTCAAGGGTAATCACATGCAGAGTGCATGACAATAGCCAAGATATAATACCATTAAAGCATGGATGACTATTGCCAAGTAGATCAATTCAGGAATGTTCATAGTTGGTGCACTAAGTGGAGTTGTGCAAAGGTACTCATCACTGCTGGCAACTGGGAATCCAGGAGCAGCATAAAGTCAAGGTGCACTCCCAGACTACTAAACTGCCAGGTGGGGTGCAACCTGTCCTGGAACAGATGGATCCCAATTCCAAAGCCTGACTTCCTCCATCCTGTCAGGATTGATTTCAGCGTATTCACTGTCACCCAAACCTTTACCAATCTCAGGGAGTATGGTTTTAAGGTGAACAGAACAATCATCTTAGATCAGGCCAAAGGTGCATTTACTCACTATTTCTTTAACCCAGTGGCTCTCTGGATGTGTTAGACTGCAACTCCCATTATCCTCACACAATAGATTAGTGCACTGGTTCTTAACCTTGGGTTACTCAGGAGTTTTGGACTGCAACTCCCAGAAGCCTTCACCACCAGCTGTCCTGACTGGGGTTTCTGGGAGTTGCAGTTCAAAAGCATCCGAGTAACAAAGGTTAAGAACCACTGGATTAGTGCATGTCCTGGTTGGCATGGTGACAGCTACAGTCAAGCACATTTTGAATGGCAACAAGTTAAGGAAACTCAGTGTACATGCAAAGGGAAAACACAGGACTTTCATGTTCTACTAAGACAAACAAATGAAATTTAAGACACCTCTTAGGATTTTAGACATAAAGAATTCCAATCTGGTATAGTATTTCTGCAGTCAAAAACCAGGAAATTGGTTGATAACTACATCCATATCAAAGGTTTCAGATTTAAATGTAAATTGTTGGGTTAATAATTTTGAATTTGCATGTCATGGCAAGGGAAAAAGTGAAAACGGAATATGATTTTTCCCCTCCTTTATATTTTAACAACTGGGCACTATCATTTTTTTCTTTTACTATGCAATAAACTCCTAGATATTGGCCAGCATTCCCATCTACTGTATCTATGAACAGTAAATCAGGCCTTTTCTGTGCATCTTCTAGGGCAAGAAACTATTTCTCTAATGAATGACCCAACAGGGAAACAGATTCACTTTGCAAACAAACCTCAGTGCAAAAGTATTTCCTCTCAGACGCTGCTAAATGGTGCCTAATATGGTCACTTCAGTAGGTAATTTAAACATTCCTTTTGACACTTCACTTTCCAACACATATTTTTCAAACTGGACCTCAACCCCCCACTTCATCCATACCTGTAAAGGGAAAACTAGCTTCAGTAATACAGTATTTCTTTCTAATTTCTAATCCTGTCTGAAATAAAAAGCAAAACAAAACAAAAACAAATCCAGATTGGAATTAGATTTCTACACTGGTATTATATTTCTTTGTTATCAGGAAGAGCACAGAACTGAAATACCTGCTTTATACCAAGCTAGACACTAGAAAAGATCATGAAGTATAAAGATGTGTCACTGGAGACTGAGACCAAGATTCCTCCACACTCTTGTATATTCAATCACCATATGCGGGTGTGAAAGCTGAGCAATAAAGAAAGATGACAGGGAAAAAATGATTCATTTGAAATGTGGTGCTGAATGAAAGCTTTGCAGATACCATGGACTGTCAGAAAGAGAAATAAGTGGGATCCAGATTTAATCAAGCCTGAATTATCTATGGAAACCAAAATGTTGAGACTGGGCAACAACATGAGAAGACAGGATTCTCTGGAATAGATAATAATGCTGGCAAAGATTGAAGGCATCGGGAAAAGAAGAAGACCAAATATGAGATGGACTGACATCCTAAAGGAAGCCATAGGCTTGAGTTTGCAAAAGCTGAACAGGGCATTTTAGAGATCATTCATTCATAGGGTTAAGATAACTTGATGATCATAACAACAAAGCGACGTTTCTGTTGGGCCCACTACTGTCTATCTTCTCTGACAAGGTATCTCCGGGATTTCAAGAAAGAGATCAGTTGTCTAATTTTTGATGACCATGATGATGTTCACCATTTTAACTGGAGATTCCAGGGACGTGGCCAAGACTTAGAATATTCCCAATGTAAAACCACAAAGTTCCTTATATAGATTAATTTTCCATGTGTATCATTATACCAAGCAACATAGTGGTCTCTGGCACTTTCTATAAAATATCACTTATGTACATTTTAAATTATCCTTAATTTATTTCCATCGTAATTGTATCTATATTCACCTCTAGTAATTATAATGCTTATAACAGGTACTGTAATTTCCTCAGTCTACAACCATTTCTTTTCAAAGGAAAACCATCATTATTGTGCTGAAGACAGAAATCCTGGAGAGGACAGCTTGCACATACAATTTCCCTGGCATATAAGTGGAGAGTTACGGCATGTCTTGAATGCATAATCCAGCCAAGGAATGTCTGCAGGCATCCATATGGAGGTATGCTCTATCTACAGGGCACTGGACAGATCATATTCTGAAACACATGTCAAAAGGTGTACAATGGGATTCTCGTATCCATGACAGATTGGTTCCAAGTACACTTGTGGATACTGAAAAGCACAGATACAGTGGTGCCCCACATAACGAGCGATTCGTTTAACGACGAATCCGCATAGCGATGTGTTTTTTGCGATCGCAAAACCGATCACATTGCCATGTTTTAGATGGTAAAACATCGCTTTGCGATGATCGGTAAGCGTTTCACTTACCGATTATCGCATAATGATGTTTTAAAAACAGCTGATCGGAGGTTCCAAAATGGCCGGCGGGTGAAGAAAATGGCCACCCACTGTGTTTTCGCACCCTTTCCTTGCTTACTGGGCAGCGAAAATGGCGGCCGCATGGAGGATTTCCGCAGAACGGTGAGTTTTTTGCCCATAGGAGTGCATTAAACGTGTTTTAATGCGTTCCTATGGGCTTTTTTGCCCCACATAGTGACGAATCCACATAGCGACGATTTTTTCTGAACAGATTATCATCGCTATGTGGGGCACCACTGTAATAACAAATCCTATACATGGCACGATTTCTGGTTCCCTTTAGTGGCCAGGTCTGGTAACTACACCATGGAAATATGTATTTCTGTGGGGTTTTTTTTCTTTTAATCATGGAATCATACAATAATTGAGTTGGAAGGGGCCTATAAGGCCATTGAGTCCAACCCCCTGCTCAATGCAGGAATCCAAATTAAAGCATTTCTGTAGATGGCTAATTTTATCTTGAATGCGTCCACCACTAGAGCACTCACCACCTCTCGAGGTAATTGGTTCCATTTCCATACTGCTCTAATAACAGTTGTTCTTCCTGATATACATGCTAAGTCTGGCTTATAGTAGCTTGAACCCATTACATGTCCTGCACTCTGGGATGATCGCAAACAGATCCTGCCCCTCCTCCATTTGACAGCCTTTCAAGTATTTGAGATGTGCTATCACAAGTCACCTCAGTTTTCTTTTCCCAAGACTAAACATGCCATTCTTTCAGTCTTTCTTCATAGAGTTTGATTTCCAGTCCCCTGATCATCCTTGTTGTTCTCCTCTGAACTTCCTTCTTAAAGTGTGGTGTCAAGAACGGGACACAGTACACTAGATGAGGCCTAATGAGTACTGGATAGAGGGGAACGAGTATCTCACGAGATGCGGAAACTATACTTCTATTAATGCAGCTTAAAATATCATTTTTTGTAGCTACATCGCACTGTTGGCTTATATTCCGTTTCCGATCCACATCCATTCCAAGATTCTTCTCACTCATATTGCTGAGCCAGGTAACCCCATCTTTAACTGCGCATTTGATTTCTTTTCCCTAGGTGTAGAATTTTGCACTTACCTCTGCTAAATTTCATTTTGTTGTTTTTCAGCCCAGTGCTCAAGCCTATCAAGATCTTTTTGAATTTTGTTCCTGTCTTCCAAGATATTAGCTATTCCATTCAATTTTGTGTCTGCTGCAAATCTGATATTTTTAATATTTTCATACTGTGAATAAGTGAAACTGTGGATAGCTATCTTGCAGATACAATGGTCCTATTGTATTTTAAAGACCTCTATACCATCTTACTTCCAAAAAGCAACTCAAAAAGGCTACTGAAAACAAAGCTACATTACAATATTTAAGAATACTGAACATACAGCATTTTTATCTTTCTTTCTAGTATTTATTATAGTCAACTGATTATCTTTACTTCTAGGCACGTGCCTCCCAAATGGCCAACGGACTGTCTCTGACAGTCTACCTGCAATGAAGTTACTGTATATACTCTCTCACTCTGAAGTGAGATGACCATCAGCAAAAGAGGACAGGCTTCCTGTGCCTTGAGTAGTCTGGTAGAAGAGGGAATTTCAATAACAGTAACTTGTTACAGAAGCTGCTGTACATCTGCTGAAATACCCTCTTCTACCCAAATATTAAAGGCACACAAGCTCTGTCCTCTTTTATATGTCATAAGCCAAGTCTGAACACATGATATCCAGTTTTTAATAATGACTCCAGTCTTTGGTAGCAACATCATTCTAATTCTTTGTCCTTCCTTTCTTCAAGAGTAACACATTTGCTTTCCCCTGGGAACTAGGCAATTAGCTGACCATTTGTGGTATACGCTATTACAGTTGTGCCTTGTGCAAACACTCAGTGTACTATACAGTATGTAGACAGCCTAGTTTTGATACATTTATTAGAAAGCATTATGAACTGAGGAGAGAAGTCAACACCTGTACCTTAATTTCTGTAGCTGGTGGTGGCAACTCACTAGCACGAGGGAAAAGCACCAGAGCTAGTGTGATGATTACAGCAGCAAAGAAAACTAGAATCACAGAAAACCTAGAGAGAGAGAAAGAATAAAACAAGAATCACAATGAAAAGCAGAAATCTATCCATAGTTTCTTAGGAATAACTTTTTAATATAACCTATGTAGGATCACCAACTCTCATGACCCTGAACGCATTACTTTACATTTCCGGATGGAACAGTAGAACAGCAACTCTTTCTATTCTCCTCTTTCTCAGACATGCCAGCCATCCCCTTATCTGTGGTAATAAGTAAAAATCCAGGTGTACTAAAAACAGGTGAAAATTAGAGACAACAAGATCCAAAGGGGAACAAGTAGGAGAGCCTTGCCTTTATTCTCTCCTGCTATATCAGGAGATTTGACAGAAAGTGTCTGGCATTTGAACTGCAACAGCCCTTCATATGTACAGGACTGGGCTGAAAGAATAATACAGTTTTCAGCTGTTTGCAAGCATCTCAGGGCCTAACTGCATTGCTATATGCTGAATGACTGCAGTTTCAGGATGCACCTTTTCTTTTTTTAAAAATTACACCAGTGACAGTACTCTATGATTCCTCAACAACAACAACAACAACAAAGAAGACTTAAAAGAAAACTGTGGTCAGCATTCATTTCATGCTAGGTTTCCTTCCTGTCATTTTAAATAAATAAAATAGCAAGAAGTTGCTTTATAACAAATACAGTGGGGTCTTGACTTAAGAACGGCTTGAGTTAAGAACATTTTGACTTAAGAACCACTCTCATAGGAAAATATTGACTTGACTTACATACTTAGATTTGAGTTAAGAACGGAAAAAACCCACGTGGGAGGCAGGGAAAGTGCAAAATGTGAACTTTCAGTTAACTGTTGGCCAGTGAAAAGGGTGCCTGTCTGCTTCCTCACTCCTCCCAGCGTTTAGAGAGTGGATTGGGAGTCTTCAGACTGCCTGGTACTGCCTGGACTGTATTTTCCTTGCCTTCCCTGAACCTTTCTTGACCTAAGAAAAAAAGAAACAAAATATCCCCCTCTAGTGGTCGAAGGCGGCATAGCAGCTTCCCATTAGTTTCTATGGACGGAAAAGAGCAGATACGGATCAAATGGTTTTCAATGCATTCCTATGGGAAATACAGATTTGACCTGAGAACTTTTTGACTTGAGAACCGCCTTCCAATACGGATTAAGTTCTCAAGTCAAGACCCCACTGTAATATATACCATGTCTTGTGAAGTTAAAATGCATTTGAAAGTCTTATTAAATTAAGTGAGACTGCCAATTTCCGTCTGACAAAGTTCATTATTCACATGCTTTCCCAAATGGGAACCCCTCCCTCCAATTTCTTGCCATATTACTCTTTGGCCAAAATCCTGTTGTACAGTTATGCCTGCAGAAGCCAAATGGTGTAACTCACAGTGACTTCTTGCTGACAATTAATGAATCCCTGTTTTGGTTTTCAATTATCTTCCAACCTACCAGACTGGCATGCACCCAAAACTCTAAGCAGCAGCTTACTAATGAGCAGCAAGAAGCTGCTGCAGGTTGTATCTTTTGCTTTCCTTTTGGCCTTTATTTCATTAATAATAGTTTACTAATTCATTGCTTGTCATTAACAATAGCTGCACAACTTGACCTACATTTTTAAATACAAGGCACCAAAATGCATTCTAGGAATCTCTTAAACTATATTTAAGACAAACAGCAATCCAAATAAACCATCTAGTGACACAGCCTAAACATCTGGCAAAAGCTGAACATTGTCATCAGTAGGGTTATAAAGAGCGGGGATCAGAAACTGTGGTTCTCCAGATGCTGTGGATCTCCATGTCCATAATCCCAACCCACTGTAGTTGAGACTAATGGGAACTGGACTAGAGCAACATCTGAAGATCCAGAGGTCCCCTAATCATGCTCTACCTACTCACACAGGGGTTGCATAATTCTTTTTAAAAACCCATATGCATTCTTCTTCAAATTGAGGAGGCTTAGATGATCAGTTAGGTTTTACCTCTATCATGCTAAACATCAGTGCTCCCACCAGGACAAATAGAGAAGCAGCCTGTGTCATTTTGAGGCAGCTCTGGGGATCTTTTGGTGAGAAGGCACATCCTCCTCAAGAGAAAATGAAGGGAAGCATCAAGTAGCCACCCAGCCCTAGTGAATGAAAGTAGCTAACAGTGAAGGTTCATCTGGCTATCAGATGTAGACCTCCCTGCCTGATAAAGAAGATATTCTTGTGAGTAAATAACTACTTCTGAGTAGGATACTCCTCATAAGTAAATCAAATCTTATCATCGGCTGCCTGAGTTCTGGGTGGGGCTCTGAACCTAAGGTTTAAAAGTCTTCTCTTACACACATAAAGTGTTGAAACCATGTTTATGTGCCAGCTCTTGGATGCTGGGCCTGTTTTTCTCTGGGAGATATAACTCATCATTGGATCCTCCGTCTTTGGATCTTGCAACTGTCTTTGGACTGGGAGTGGTCCAGTACTGACTCTCCTGAATTTGACCCCGATCTGTTGCTGGTGCAGCCTGAAACAGCATTGTGATCCCATAAAAAATGTTAAACCCAGAAGAGGGTGTGGCAGTACTGAAAAGACCATTTATAATTATAATAGATAAACAAAGGCCATTTTTATATATGAAATGAAATGCAATCCTACTGTTTTGGCTGCCTTCTCTATGGAAGAACTCTGATCCCAGTCAGCTATTGGGTCTTAAGGAAGAAGTTTACCTCTTCATCATCATTATCATTTAGCAGTGTTTTTTCTTTGATTATGTACAACACTCTACGGCAGTGATGGCAAACCTATGGCATGTGTGCCACAGCTGGCACACAGAGCCATCTCTGTGGGCATGTGAGCCATAAGTCGCCGGATTGCTGCTCCCCCCCAGCCCCGCAGCTGAACTTGAGGAGGTGGGTGCAGCCATGGTGCTAGCGCCCCAACAGGCGGCGGGCCAGGATCCAGAGCAGCCGGTGCTGGTGACTACAGGCAGATCTGGAGTGGGGTTTGGAGGCTCCTCCATGCCTGGGATTCCCCCATCCGCTGCCACTTCCACTGCTGCCGCCGCCACCGCACACTTGTTTTGTTTTGTTTTAAAATATAGGACATGCATTACCATAAGCTCCTTTCCAGCTGTCTTCACAATGTATCATAGAAGATTGCCAACTAAGGGTAATGAATTAATTTATAAAGAAAATTCAATTGAGAACTCTGGGCAGTCTTCTGCAGTAACACTACAGGCAGATCTGGAGTGGGGTTTGGAGGCTCCTCCATGCCTGGGATTCCCCCATCCACTGCCACTTCCAGAACTCTGGGCAGTCTTCTGCAGTAACACAGCATTCTGTGATAAAATTGTATCCCTTTTTTACACATCAGAATTTTTCTCTTTTTCTAAACAATCTAATTCAGCCAGTAACAGGATGAGGCTTAAACAAACAAAAACTCTCTAACTCACTAAATCCTGAGGAACAATCTTATGGAAGTACACAAGCCAAAATGATGAGGTGTGAGTCTCATTGAAAATACTACTGTAATGTGAATTGTGTTTTTTAGAAGATGAAGCAGTATGCAATAAAAGAATAGATTAAATATCACAAGTTTTTCCTGACAACAATAAGGCAGAACATGAATAGGTCTTTTACCTTCTTTTTTTTCCATTTTGGAGGCAGCAAGAGATTTAAGGTATATATTACACTTTTCCAATATTTTATTTTATTTTATTTATTGCACTTCTGTGCTGCTTTTTCCCCAGCAGTGGGACTTACGTTCACTCAGTTCAATAGTCAACATTCTAAATGCTTCCATTTTTCTTAGGGGTGTGAACCAATTAAAGAAATCTTGATTGATTAAAGTTTGACTTCTAGTGAATTGTCAGATGAAATAAACTGCAAGAGTAAAACCAGTAGTTCTGAGAGTTGACATATATATTAACTCGATTTTACATTATACATACAGTACTATATACATGACATCTTAGAAGATACAATTTCTTTCTTTGTGGGAAAGAGATGACTAAGCACCTCTTACAATTTTGCTTTTTATCTACAGTTTTAATAAGAACATTAATGTTTTTAAAACAAATTGGCCGATTACGGTAATTGGAGCAACGTTTTTGTCAAATTGCTTAAAGTTGATTAATCCAACTGCAGTCTTCCTTTTTTAAAAAAAGTCATGATTTCCTAAATGTACTATAATTGGTTTACAATAAGATAAATGCTGTACACTATATTCAGAATAAATAAGAAGTAGATTGGTTAATACATCTGATCTCTTTTCAAATCCTATCAAAAATCAGGAAATATGCAAATACATCTGCTGGGAAGTAGGGGTTTCCATGCTAATTCACTTCAGCCAACTACACAGGAGCCAGCAGAGAGAGGGAAGGAAATCAGCCCCATTTGCAGCTTTGAATTCTCTTAAAGGAAAAAAGAGATAGTAAGGAATCAGAGAGCAAGCAAGCAGGATGTTTTAAAGTAGCTGTGCTCTGGCCAAGCACATTTTCAGGAGACATAGAGCCGAAGTACTCAAAAACCTCCTTCTATCTCTCTGCTGTGTCCTCACTCTCATCGTGCTTTGGTCAGCCAATTCCCCTAGCACTAGGACAGCAAGGGGAGGGAGGGAGACAGAGAAGATAGACCCAGGCATCAGATGTGGGGAGGATTAAAATAGCAACCGATTTCCCCACTGCCCTGCCTCTCTCATTGCTTGCAGGGTGGAATGGCTTTGAATACCACGGGTGCAAACCCCTCCACACTGGCTCAAGTGATCACACTGTCTGAACTGATGTGAATGCATTTGATTCTAAAAAAAGTAGAAGCCACAGCAGCAGAAGAAGAAAAATATGAATTGGGTGGAAAACTCTGGGCTGATTGACTTTTACAGCATGCAGTCAACAGAAGATAATGTGAATCAGACTGTCCTAACAGAGGGGCATTTCTTGCATGATTTATCAATGTAGTCCCATCTTGAGAGACAAAGCATTAAGATGACTAACTTCAATTCCTGATAGAAAAGGTGGCACTACATATAATTAATTTAAATAGTGAAAGAACCTACCCATCTTCTAAGGAAAGAATGTCTCAAATTATAGAAGTATAGATTGGGAGAGGGACTTTCAAGCCATCTAGTCCCACTCCCTATGAAATATAAAAAAAATAGAGTAAGAGCAGCTCCAACACATGGCAGTCCAGTGTCTGTTGAAAAATCTCCAATGAGGGAGAGTCCACCACCCTTCTAGGTAATTGGTTCCATTGTTGCTCCTAGCAGCAAGACATTTCTCTTAATGTTTGCTTCAAATTCACATGGTTAGCAGTTTCCCCTCCAATTACTTTCCCAGCAGGATAAATCGCCTTACCTAGCAAGTCCAGAAGCTCTGGATAACAACACGCAGAGCAGCAAGGTCAGTACCCACAGCAGCGCTAAGATGAATACTCCTGGCCCGACGCCAAGTACCGTGCCAGGCATTCTGGAAATAAAGAAACTTTTGAAAACCTCTCTCTTGTAGAACTGAAGTGTTTGTGGAACATACTGGTGGTCATACTGAACTAATGACTTTCACTAGGACTCTGTTCATAAAAATGGACATTACTGTATTTTTTGAAAATATATATGTACAGCAATTACGGACGATGGGCAACAATCACAGGGATGGAATTAAACATTTAAACCACAATCTGAAACAAGGTTCACTAGTTTGCTGCTTGACTATGTGTGAAATCATCATAATGCAAGATCATGGCTCCAGGTCTCTTTGGGCCCAAGCCACTTCTGGATCACCTCAGTGAAGCATATCTTGAATCTATGGCAATTTAAAATTCAGAACACTAGCATACTGTCTGGGGTGGGTTGTGTAAAGCATGGCTCTCCAGTTGTTGGACTGCAACCCCCATCATTCCTCCCTACTGGCCAAGCCCACTGGGAGTTTCAGTAGAGCAATGCTGGAGTCTGCCCACTATTGTTTCTGGACTATCTCAGCTCAGTGTTACTCAGTGAGTAACTCAGTGAGAGAGTACATGCCTTCTAAAGTCAAGTAAAAGGCCCCAGATTCAATAGCTTGCATCTCCAGCTACTTGAGAGAAACATTCCCTTAAGACGTATTGCTGATTTACTCTAGCAGTGGTTCTCAAACTGGGGTCCCTAGATATTCTTGGACTGCAATTCTCAGAAGCCTTCACTCCTTGCTGAGCTGGCCAAGATTTCTGGGAGTTGATGTCTGAGAACATCTGAGGATCCAAGTTTGAGAACCACTGTACTATAGGGACAATACTAAGCTAGATTGGTCAAGACCATGTCTCAATGCAAGGCCCATTCCTAATTAGGCAGTGCTACAGGGGCAGGAGATTCCTTGGCCCACGGCCACATTTCATTAGAGGCAATTTTTCAGTGGGCCCAGTCAGTGAGTGGGTGAGCCTAAAAGTGCAAATGGGCATATCCACTCACTGCTTTTCTTGCCAGCCCTCCCGCCCTTCTCTTTTCTTCTTGTGCCCATTTTTTTCCCCTGATGTATCTCTTTTTATTTTCCCCGTACAGGGCTGCTGGGGAAGGGGCTGGTAGCTGTGTGCATTTGCAGAGGGCGTCTAAAATTAATCTGAGGGGCCTGCCTATCCCACCATTTGTCCATCCCTCGTTGGTTTATTTCCATAGCCTGCCTTTCTCCTTTGCAAAGTCAAAGCAGGTGACAACACACATTTGGGGGAAAACAGCTTCAGCTAAAAATACCCACAATGATAACATGAAAAACAGTATTAAATAAATTACTAGGTTAAACAAACACACAATTAACACAGTTTAATACAAAGTACGCCTTTTAAAAAGAACAATAGCAGCAGCAAAGCAACAACTATCCTTTAAAAGTCTGGATCAGTGGTCAAAACTGTGTTTAAATAGAAGTTTCTTTTGTGTCTTAGTCTCCTTCTGAAGTCAGTTCTGCAGCCTGAGAGCAGCATCTATGAAAGCTCTCTCACATTTGTCCTCACCAACATGCCAGGTGAGTATAATGAGACAGATTCCTGAATCCCAGGAAAGCTCACATTGACAGATAATGTCCTTCAGCTAGCCTGGACCCAAGCCACATAGAGCTTTATAGATCATCACCAAGACACTGTGACTGGAAAAGGACCCGTATGCATTGAACCTGCTGCAGTAGAATCATGGATAAAAAGTCTCTGGTTCTAAGTTCCAAGTTGTAAAGGTGTTATGGACCAATCATCATCATCTTAGAACTGCAGAGCTAGAAAGGACCCCGTGGATCATCTCCACAGTCAGATGCCTAAATCACTGAGCTCCAAAGTCAGATGCCTAAATCAATGAGCTATCCAGCAGTTCATACCAAGGATCTTTGCAGAAGTACAGTACTCTCAGAGCTGGCAAAGCTGTAAGAACAAACAACCAAATTGATCAAGTTCTTGGGAGACTTTGCCTACGCAGGAGAGCTAAACTTTCTATAGTTTTTGTTTTAAAATCAAAGGAAATCAATTCATGGGGGGAAAACATATTCATAAAACTGCATAATCTGTATACAAAGATGCTTTTCTTATGTCCCCTTAAACTAGAATGTGTCACCCAGTGTGAGTGACTGGCAGTAGAAGTGGAACAGTACTATCACATACAGTATAATGAACCACTAAATTATGAACTTACTGCCTCAAGATGAGTTTATATTTCCTGAGTTCAGATAACTTCAGAGGATGACAGAAACTCATATAATCATAGAATCATGAAGTTGGAATGGTCCAATAAGGAGCAGGAATACAAATCAAAGACTATCTGCCAGGTGGTTGTCTAAATTTCTCTTGAATGCCTCCAGTCTTGGAGCACTCACCACCTTTCTAGGTAAGTGGTTCCACTGCCATACTGCTCTAACTGGACGTTTTTCCTGATATTCAGCTGCAATCTACCTTCCTATAACTTGAGCCCATTGTTGCATGTCCTGCACTCTGGGATGACTGAGAACAGATCCTGCCTCTCCTCTGTATGACAGCCTTTGAAGTATTTGAAAAGTACTATCAGATGTCCCATCTTCTTTTCTTGAGATTAAAGATGTCCATGCCATACTGCTCTAACTGGACGTTTTTCCTGATATTCAGCTGCAATCTACCTTCCTATAACTTGAGCCCATTGTTGCATGTCCTGCACTCTGGGATGACTGAGAACAGATCCTGCCTCTCCTCTGTATGACAGCCTTTGAAGTATTTGAAAAGTACTATCAGATGTCCCATCTTCTTTTCTTGAGATTAAAGATGTCCAGTTTTTCACTATCCCGTCTTCTTTTCTTGAGATTAAAGATGTCCAGTTTTTCACTCTTTCCTCATAGGCTTGGTTTCCAGGCCTCTAATCATCCTTGTTGTCCTCCTCTGAACGTGTTCCAATTTGTTGCCATCTTTCTTGAAGTGCAGTGTCCAGAACTGGACACAGTACTCAAGATGAGGCCTAATAAGTGAGAGAACTAGTACCTCACAGAATTTGGAGACTATACTTCTGTTAATACAGCCTAAAGCCTACCCAGGCTTCGTGCTCTGGAGAGGACACTCCAGCTTTGCATACAGTGTCGAAATCTATTGGCTCGTATTAAGTTTATAATCTACAATGACTCCAAGATCCTTCTCAGTCACAATATTGCCGAGTCAGGTATCCCCCATCTTGTAACTGTGTGTTTGGTTTTTCCTCTCTAGGTGGAGTACTTTGTGCTTATACCTGTTGAATTTCATTCTGGTTTCAGCCCAGTGCTCAAGCCTATCTAGATCATTTTGATTTTTTCTTCTGTTTTCCAGAGTATTAGCTAATCCACTAAATTTTGTGTCATCCACAAATTTGATTAGCATTCCCTGTATCCCTTGCTCTGGGTCATTAAGAAAAATACTGAATAGTACTGAGCCCTGGGGTACCCCACTTGTTACCTCATCCCAGTTGGAGAAGGAGCCATCAATCATCACCATCTTAGTATGATTCTGTAGCCAACTGTGTATCCACCTGACAGTTGTTCTATCCAGCCCACACCTACTTAACTTGCTGATCAGAATATCATGGGGCACTTTGTCAAAAGCTCTGTTGAAGTCAAGATACACTATGTGTACAGCATTCTCTCCAGCCAGAGAGTTCCAGAAAAACATCTACTTCTGCTTCATTGACTACGCAAAAGCCTTTGACTGTGTGGACCACAGGAAACTACAGCAAGTTCTTAAAGAAATGGGAGTGCCTGATAACCTTATCTATCTCCTAAGAAATCTATATGTGGGACAGGAAGCAACAGTTAGAACTGGATACGGAACAACTGATTGGTTCAAAATTGGGAAAGGAGTATGACAAGGCTGTATATTGTCTCCCTGCTTATTTAACTTATATGCAAATAACATCATGAGAAAGGCTGGACTGGATGAATCCCAAGTCGGAATTAAGATTGCCAGAAGAAATATCAACAACCTCAGATATGCAAATGATACCACTCTGATGGCAGAAAGTGAGGAGGAATTAAAGAACCTCATAATGAGGGTGAAGGAGGAGAGAGCAAAAAATGGTCTCAAGCTCAACATCAAAAAAACTAAGATAATGGCCACCGGTCCCATCACCTCCTGGGAAATAGAAGGGCAAGATATGGAGGCAGTGACAGATTTAACTTTCTTGGGCACCATGATCACTGCAGATGAAGACAGCAGCCACGAAATTAAAAGACTTCTGCTTCTTGGGAGGAAAGCGATGACAAACCTCAACAGCATCTTAAAAAGCAGAGACATCACCTTGCTGACAAAGGTCCCCATACTCAAAGCTATGGTTTTTCCAGTAGTGATGTATGGAAGTGAGAGCTGGACCATAAAGAAGGCTGACTGCCAAATAATTGATGCTTTTGAATTGTGGTGCTGGAGGAGACTCTTGAGAGTCCCCTGGACTGCAAGGAGACAGACATGTCCATTCTGAAGGAAATCAACCTTGAGTGTTCACTGGAAGGACAGATCCTGAAAGTGCGGTTTCAATACTTTGGCCATCTCATAAGAAGAGAAGATTTCCTGGAAAAGACCCTGACGTTGGGAAAGTGTGAAGGCAAGAGGAGAATGGGACGACAGAGGATGAGATGGCTAGACAGAGTTATCAAAGCTACCGACATGAATTTGACCAAACTCTGGGAGGCAGTGGAAGACAGGAGGGCCTGGCGTGCTCTAGTCTATGGGGTCACGAAGAGTCGGACATGACTTAATGACTAACCAACAACAGCAGCATTCCCTCTGTCTATCAGGGAGGTTACCCAATCAAAAAATGAGATCAGATTAGTCTGACAGAATTTTTTCTTGACAAATCCATGTTGGCTTCTAGTCTGCATAGTGACTGCTTTATAATCTGTTCCAAAATTTTCCCTGGGATTGACGTCAGGCTGACTGGTCCGTAGTTCCCAGGCTACTCCTTTTTGCCTTTTTTGTAGATAGGGACATTAGCTCTCCTCCAGTTGTTGGGCACCTTATCCATTTCCCATGATTTCATGAAAATAATTGACAGTGGTTCTGAGAGCTCTTCAGCCAGTTCCTTCAATGCTCTTGGATGCAATTCATCCAGCCCTGGATTTTGAACTCATTCAAGTTAATAAGGTATTCCTTGACTATTTGTTTATCAACCTCCAGCTGTAATCTTGTCCCTTCCATCTGCACGTCACATTTGTCTGTTGGGTCATAGTATGTCCTTTGGGAAAAGAATGAGAAACTAATGGAAAAGAACTGGTCTATCAAGTGCTATGAGCTATGACAGAAAAATCCTGTTAAGAAGCAGTATGCTGGAGACAGATGCAACGGTAATACAAAGAAGGTTACTGTTTTTATGTTCTACTTGTTGGTGCATATAAAAACAGCCACTAAGGATTGCTCAAACCAATCAATAACCAACATTTTGTACAGCAGCCAATGAGGTGCCTGTAGGAAACTCAAACCCTACTTGTTTTCTGAAGTAGCTGCTCTTTAGAGGCAAACTGCCTCCAGTACTGAGAATAATATAGAGCCATTATGACCAGTATTCATAAGCCTTACCCTCAGAAGCATCTGGCTGGCCACTGCATGACATGATGCGATCTTTAATCTGACCTAACATACTTCATTTTAAATCTGTAAAGCAAAAATACACACTTACCTCACAGGAGGTCTGTCACTTTTTGTCCCACCTCTGGCAAGGCACCTGTGTTTTTCAAAGCTGCATGACAAGCTAGGGAGCAAAAGAAAAAAAATCAACAAATTTGAAATTTTGCTTTATTTCTGTATTTCATTATTCTGCGCCCTTCCTCCAAAGAGCTTTGGGTGATATACAATTCATGTAACCCGATGCTCTTTCTCACAACAATCCTGCAAAGTTAAGCTGAAAAGGAGCCCCCACCATGCCTGTAAATGACTTCGATGCTTTTAACAGTTGTATGAAGGAGGTGGAGCTATTTTATCTGTTTACTTGAGGAGGTTATCACCTCTTTTTTTCTGCCTTCTTTAAACAGGAGTTGCCCAAATGATCTTATAAAAAAAACTAAAGGTAGAAGAATAGAACAAGGCAGATGCAATGCCTTTTAACAAGGAAATGCCAATCTTCCCCAGTTGACTCCTTGCCTATCATATAGTTCCGCCTAATGGGCAAGCCCGTAACCAGCAAATCTTCTGCAGAGAGAAGGAAGAGGAGCCTACCTCGCAAGGCTGTTGTGTGACAGAGGCCACCGTAGGAGAGTGAAACACTTTCCAAGTCGAAAGTAATCTTTCGATTACAGCAGCAAGGACTTGGCGCGGGCTGTGGGGGTGCAAAGAGGCGACAGGGGCCGCCATAGGGCAAAGGAAGGGAAAAAATCATCCTCCCCCCTCCTCCCGTGAGAAGCCCACACCTGCTATATCTATACACAAGGAGAACCCAAAACTGCCTCGGAGCCCATTTTCCCTCGGACAAAAAGTGAAGTTCAATCACTGCCCCGACTCTCCGGCCATTTCATCCAATCACAGCAAGTTTTTCATTTCGCAATGGCCCATAGAATCCAATAAGCATTCGTCTTTCATCTCCTTTCTTTAACCGGATTGGCAGTTACTATGGGCAACCCTAAAGCCGAGCCTAGCAAGCACCGCCTCTTCGGAACCGCATCCGCTGATTGGTTCACGGGTGGGACGGTTCTGCACCAATCCTCCCCATCCATTCTTTCTGACGTCATTGCATCCCTCCCGTTTCCTCTGTGGGTGATTTTGTTTTTAAATTCCTTTTCTGAACGTGGAGGATGTGTGGATTTTTTTCCCCCTCTGTCCTACCTCTAAGGGCGTTATTTATTTTCTTTTTCTGTCTTTAATGAGAGTTGTTGCCTAGACTCAGGCTTCTTGCCCTTATTTGCTTAGCACATTTGCCATACACGTGCAAGAAATAAAACAATGAAGTGTATGTTAATTTCATTTAAATATATGCAGATCTTAGTATCAATTACCTAGCCCTAGGGATGGGCTAAAAATGGAAAAGAAGACCTAATCCAACCAAATCAAAACAACAGAACAAAGGTCCCTGAAGCATCAGAAAGCAACAAAGAGTTTTCTGACCCCAATAAGGCAGTTATTTTTACTACTATTCCTATTTTATTATTTAGACCCTCCCAGAACCTGCCTTAGACTCAGTGGCCTAGGTCAGCAAGAATAGTAAATTGTGCCACAATCCCAATTCTGTATGTGTCTAATCACAAGTCATTTTGATTCCTTGTGGTGTCTTGTGGCAGTCTAAATTACGTATTATTATTTTTGTTTAGTTGTTAAGCCATGTCAGACTCTTCGTGACCCCATGGACAAGAGCACACCAGGCCCTCCTGTCTTCCACTGCCTCCCGTGTTGTTATGCATTATTACTGAAAGATTATTTTCATTATTACAGTGATGAAATATCTGTTCTTTTATCTAAACTCAATAAAACGATGAGCAGGGCAAATTAGGGGTTTTTTGAATGTAACTGTCTGCTTTACTGGATGAAAGTTTCTGATCAGTTTTGATCCTGTAATCACTTTTTCCTCTCTGGTACTAACATCTTTTTTTCATTATTCATACTAGATGAAAACAATCTCCCATCGTTCTCATGACTGCAGTATTTTAAATATTAACAAAAGATCTTATATAGGAATACTTTTAATGTCTTGTGAGAAATTTGCCACCTGTCTTCTCCATCCGGCCTGATTTCAGGTTTGCTTATGGGACTGCAATCTAGATAACCACAGTTTTGTCCTTAATTAGTGCTGGAAGATGTTGAATGATTTCAGATTTGACTGCACTCTGCAGTCCTATATAAACTCCTGGGGATGGCTTAGAGACAGAATTTTGTCCTCCATGATTTTGTGTTTTTTAATCACTATTACAATGATGGTCATACAGAATGAGGCATGTAAATACAGTATGCATGCTGATGGTGCTCATTTGCCCCATGGCCATTGCCACACTTGCAATGAAGTCCAAAAATGCTGATATCAGTACTGACCCATAGTAAGAGACCAATGTTAGCAGTTACACTAGGACAGTGCCTTTTGTAAGACTAATGGATCTCAACTGCCTGTTAAAGACAAAATTGCTACCTCCAAGCAGAATGTTGTTTATTACTAGGAGGATCCCCCCCCCCAAAAAAACCTCAGAAATGGTAAAAGGTCAAAGAGTGTACAAACATCAATGTTTAATTTGGCAATTAAGGTCAAATTATGTAAATTAGAATCATAAATTAAATTTATAGTAGTTCTAATTTTGTTGTCATTTATGATAATATGTCATTTTGCAATCCACCTTTTGTACTTCTGGAATGTATTATATTTTAATAAAGGCAATTGTTATTGTTTATTTTATTATCCAAGTTCTAATATGTAGTTATTTCTAGTACGGGTTACTACAAGGTGAGATGTTACTCTTTAAATTTAAACATTTGACACCCCCTTCCGAATCTGACTCTTGGTGAGAATTGTGTCTATCTTCTGGTAGAACAAGAAAGCTTGAGAACAGATGTTGTTGTCCTCCTTGCTAATCAGAAAGTTCTGGCACATGGACCCAGGAAGCCCAGCCTGATTAAAACATTGGTCTGGTACTAAGTCCCAGATTAGAGGCAGTGTGCCTCTGAACAAGGTTGAGCCAAGCTTTTCCACTACGTGAGGTAAGAAGCACACTGCCATCCATTCTTGTGCTCCTCACAAGATCTCTTGTAATTCTCCACATATAGACCAAAATCCTGTTGCTTAGTGTATTGAATTGCTCTAGAGTAGGCCCATTGAATCAATGAGGGTTTAGTGAGTCAGCTCCTCCATTGATTCAAAAGGGCCTACTCAAACTGTGACTTATTTTAGCATAATCACAGTAGAATAGGTGTTCTTTGAATCGATGGAACTTACAGATGAGTTGACTCATTAATTCCTTGTTGATTCAATGGGCCTAGTTCAATTTACTACTCCGAGGATCTTGGCCACAGAGTTTCTTAAACTATCTTCCCCCCTCCAACAGCATATATACACCTGCACCAACAACAATCATGCCACACTGTGTCAGGCTGGGGTTGAAAACTCATAATCCTCACAAAAAACAGCCATGTTGTCATTTCGGCACCCTTCTTTCACCATAGGATTAGACTCATCTATGCCACCACTTTCTTCAAGTGCCTTTGCTATGAGGGTCCCTGTCTTGCATGAAGATGTGTCCCAGACAGCTGCCTTTTCTGGAAGTAGGCCGGCAACTGTATCCTCCTTCTCTGCATTGCTCTAGAGTTGCACAGGGGATTCTGTCCCCATTATCTTTCTCCTTCATACTACTACCATAAAGGGATGATGTTGATGACCCAGGAATTGCAGAAAAAGGTGCCACAGGAAAGATACCCATAATGGCAGCTTCTCAGAGCACCATGGCTGTCCTGAGGCAGCTGTGGAGAACAGTTCATTGGTCACCCCCAGCACTCTTCCACGTATAAGAAGTGTCTGAACATTGCTGAGAACCAACACAGTTCTATGTGTGTAGGCATCCTTCAGTCTTGAGAGACTATGCTAACGTGTGCTGTCTTGGAACAACGTCTATAGGGGCTGAGAAGGCCAATACGAGAGTGACAATCCCTTCCACACTGCAGACAAATACAATCTGTCCCCTGCTCAGCTCCCTGATTTTGCTGGTTTCGGGACTGCCTCTTTGCCTCAGCCTGCTGAACAAGTGTCTCTTCAAATTGGGAGAGGCCATGCAGCACTGCCTGCCAATACTGGGAGGAGAGTTATTGTCCTCGTGCCACAATTGGGCTTCTTATAGGCATCTGACTGGCCACTTTCTGAAACAAGATTAAATAAAGTTTTTGGTTTCACCCTCTCCTTATGACAAAAGACAGACTGCTGATACTCTAGTTTGTATAACAAAAATCACCTTCTGGCCACACCCCTCCACTCTATGATTTCAATGCGAATCCAAGGCAGACCTTTTCAACATCACAGTAATCCAAGTTAAGATGCTTGCTTCTTGGAAGGAAAGCGATGATAAACCTAGACAGCATCTTAAAAAGCAGAGACCTCACCTTGTCGACAAAGGTCCGCATAGTCAAAGCTATGGTTTTTCCAGTAGCGATGTATGGAAGTGAGAGGTGGACCATAAAGAAGGGTGACCGCCGAAGAATTGATGCTTTTGAATTGTGGTGCTGGAGGACACTCTTGAGAGTCCCCTGGACTGCAAGGAGAACAAACCTATCTGTTCTGAAGGAAATCAATCCTGAGTGCTCACTGGATCCTGAAGCTGAGGCTCCAATACTTTGGCCATCTCATGAGAAGAGAAGACTCCCTGGAAAAGACCCTGATGTTGGGAAAGTGTGAAGGCAAGAGGAGAAGGGGACAACAGAGGACGAGATGGATGGACAGTGTCATCGAAGCTGCCAACATGAATTTAACCCAACTCCAGGAGGCAGTGGAAGACAGGAGGGCTTGGCGTGCTCTGGTCCATGGGGTCACGAAGAGTCGGACATGACTTAATGACTAAACAACAACAACATTGAAGCCTCATCATGATCCTGAAATCCAGATCCCCATCTTCATGGAGAATTTGAAGAAGGACTCAGAGTGGCTGAAGAATCTGCCTGTTGAGATTTTGGTGTCAAAATGTATTAAATATAAATGTTGTATAGCTGAAAGTAAAATGGCTGATTTTACCTGACTCATATACTGTACTAAGTGTATTCAGGGGTGGGTAGGTGGGTACCAAGGTTAATCCTGCCAACCTAGCAGTTCAAAAGCATGGAAATGCAAGTAGATAAATAGGTACCACCACAGTGGGAAGGTAACGGTGTTCGTGTCTAGTCACACTGGCCACGTGACCATGGAAACGGTCTCCAGCTTGGAAACGGGGATGAGTGCCGCACCCTAGAGTTGGACACAACTGGACTAAATGTCAAGGGGAACCTTTACCTTACCAAGGTTAAGGATGTTGTACAGCTGTAAAAAATGATGTAACTCTATGTAAGTAGAAAATGAAGTATTTTCTAATTGGCCCCAAGAATGTATATACTGGTAAATCATGTGTAAAAAGGGACATTTCATCTGCTGTTAAGTCAGATCACTTTTTTCTATGCTATGTATTGTACCATGTCATGTTATGCTGCCAGATAAATAACTCTGCTTATGTCCTGAGAATACATATTTAACCAAAATTTTTATTTTAATTAATTAATTAATTTCATATGCCGCCCACACTACCCAAAGGTCTCTTTGCATTCTCAACACTGCCCTGAGAAATGTCCCCTAAAGATCCCCAGCCACCTGAAAACTCTTAAATAAGAAGAGCCATCTGTCACTGACTCTGCACCCTGAATATACTGTGTGACTGAATTTAAGCCAGAACTCCTGGCAGAACTGTGGTCCACACTGTATCATCAGAATTGGTGGCCACTAAAATACTAGATATTGATTCCCACAATGCTAGATGACCCTGAAACTCTATCTAACCTCAGTCTGGGGTTGCTACTGGAGCAACTTTTGAGT